CAGCAAGCAGAGCTGGGGCTGGTGCCTGCTGGTGGCTCTCCACCTCGCTGTGGGACCCTGAGTGTGCCCTCAGACTCGTACCAGGGATGGGCAGGGCTGCCCGGGCAGGCAGCCACCAGCCCACCTCCCCCCAGCACCCAGCACTCACTGGAGGAACGCGCCCGGCCGCTCATGAAGACATTGAGGAACTTCTTGGAGAAGTGGATGTCTGCCTCGGGGGTGGAGTCCTCGGACAGGCAGACCGAGTCACGCTTCAGTGCATCCTCCTCGTACTCCTCACCGATGGCCGACTCGTAGGGCGAGGAGACGCAGTTGTCGTAGACAGTGGCCGAATCGCTCTCGTCGCTGTAGCCCGAGTAGCACTGCTTGAGGCTCACCAGCTCCAGCTGCACATTCTCGTCCACCACCAGTGTGTATTTGACCGAGTCGTAGGAGAGGGCGCTGGTGTCCGAACTCACCGAGGCTCTCTGAAGGTTGTGCCCTGGTCGGGAGCCACCGCTCCCCCCACCACAGGAGGCCCTGGGCAGGTTTGTCTTGTCAGGGGAGGACATGTAGTCCAGCACCTCATCCTCCTCGCTGATGGAGGGGTTGGTTTTCCCTGCCAGGGCCGAATAGCCGGAGGTGTCGATGTCAGAGCTGATGGACATGCGGTTCTCACTGGACTGAGACAGGAACGGCTTGTCAGTCTCCAGGGGGTCTGAGTTCTTCTGCACGGGCGTCAGGTAGATCTCCTCTGTGGCCTCCAGCCTCACGTCCGTCTGGTAGCGGATGCGGTCCCGGTGGGCCTCGGGACCCCTTGTTGTCACCACCACCACACTGGCACCATGAGGTGGGGGCCGGCTGGTGGCCTGGTGCTTCTCAGGTGGCCGGGACGAGGTGACACAGGCAGGTGCCATCTGGGTGGCTGCTGTGCGCCGGCACGGGCTCTCCGTGGACGTGCCCCGGTCTTTGGTGGAGGTTGTGCTGTTTTGGTGATTGACCTCATCACTCAGGCAAACGTGGTCGTGGGGAGGGGTCTGCTCACCTGGAGGGGGAGGAGAGCAGCATTGACAGCTCTGCAGAGGGTGATGCTCCCTGCCAGGGAAGGTGGCCAGGGATGCCACCCAGACTCAAGATGGACATGCACCCTGCATCCATGTGGGACGTTCACCCCAACCTCCTGCTCCAGCACCACTTGCACCAGGCTCCTGAGAGCCACAAAGGGGTGCAAGGAGCTGTCCCTGGCCAACAGCCCAAGAACTCACCCGTTTTCAGAGGGGACGACGACCGGGACACCCGCTCCTGCCAACTGTGCTTTTTCCCCAGAGAGTTGTTATTCAGAGTGTCCTGAGGAGAAGAACAAAGCCGCCTTGTAGCCCAAACAGTAAACATCGCGTGGCGCAGCAGTGGCAGCACCCATCCCTCCCCGGGTCCACAGCATCCTGCTCAGCTCCCCCCGCGCCTGGGCACGTGGTGCTCAGGGGACCCCCCCGCCAGCCCCACATCTCACCATGCCACTGCTGCGAGAGCTGGTGTGGTGGCCAATGCAGAGCAGGCAAGGAGCCAGCCGGGAAGCAGACGGCCTGACCTGGATGGATGTACTCATCCACCCCAGGGAGACTCAGATGCAGGAGCCCACGGATGGATGGTCCCAAGCCAAAAATTCAAGACCTGAGCCTGCCTGGAGCCTGGCTGGGCTGGGCAGGCACGCTTTGCTCCCACCCTTCAGGCCTTGCCTACCTTCAAACCACCCAATGTTATTAAACAGGGGAAGTCCCGAGGGCCAGGGGTTGTACTGCTGCCCAGCTGGGAGCCAGCTACTGGATAGACTGACATGTGGTACTGGAATCATCCATATTGGGTGTATATAGGGGTATACATACGCACACACCCATGTATGTATGGATACATAGCTATACATGCACACACACATATATATAGAGTGCACTGGCAGACATCAATCCTGATCAGCTGGAGAGGTGAGGCAGGATCAGGCCACTGGTGCTGCCCACACTCGGGTGAGTTTCTGTGGGTGCTGTGCCCTGCCCGCCTTGCCATGGGTGGCCAGCCATGCGTGTGCACACATGTGTGTGCCCAGGGGAAGGTGTGCTCAGCCTCTCTGTCAGACCTGGGGACAGGGAACCACAGCAGTCTCGTGTCTGCAGGGCTGGGAGAGGAGTCCTCCCCAGCCCCGAAGGCCACTGGTCCCCCGGCTAACAAGGGTCCTCCTGCAGATGGGGGACCACTCCTCCCCGCCCATCTCCGCAAGGGTGTTCCTCCCTGCCACCACAGCAGTGGCGTTTTCCACGCCGTTAGCTTTTGCTCAAGTACTAAGCCCCGCTGGGACTCCCTGGATTTTCTCACAGCCTTATCGCCAGCCTGCAGCTATTACCATCAGCGCAGGAGCTGCCCCCTGCTTACTTTGCTTCCCCACCAACACGAAGCAAGCCTTTGCCCTGAAGCTCCACTGAGTCGCACGCTGCTGAA